GGCCCCGTGGAGCCAGCCCCAGGGTGGGGCCTGTGGTCCCCTGGCCTGCAGCAGCAGGAGCTGACACCCTGCTCGCCTGTCCTTCCCTGTCAGCCTCTGACCTCAGAAGAGCTGCACTCATGCACTTCTGTCCTGTACCCTGAGCCCCAGCCTGGAGCGTGGGTGCGGGAACAGAGCAACAAGCTCTCTGGGCTCTGGGCAAACTTGCCTTTACTCAAAGCACTATGTGCCCCGGAGGCGCCTGCCAGCTCCTGGGAGGGCGGAGGGCAGGGAGCTGCTGCGGAAGGGCGTGGAGACGGCAGAGAATGACATGGAATCGCGCACACAAGCAGCACCCCTTCCCGGCCCACACATCTCCTGACACGGAGCTCTCTGGCTGTTAGGCGGGGGTTGGTGGGGGGCAGTGTGGGCTGCAGCTGCTACAGCTCAGACCTGGGGGCTCGATGCCAGGGAGAGCCCTGATCTACCCCTGGCCAAGCTGGGTGCCCCCACGGGCCTCCGTGCCCTCTGCCTTCATGTACGGACTGAGCACGTGATGTCTAGTTCCCACAATCACCCACGTAGCAGAGGCGTCTACACTGACCGAGGGTGCGCTCTTGCCCGGACCCACCAGGCCCAGGGACCCCGGTGAGCACACGCCCTGCCCCGCCATGCTCCCCTCAGAGGGAGGGATGGCTTTCATGGGGACACAGTGGGAACTCCAGTTGACAAGATTTTCCAGAAGTCCCGTGGAATGTCTGCAGCAGTTAAAAAGGTCTTGCTTGAACTGTTAGAAAAAGGAAATTGTTGGTACAGGTTTGATTTCCGTCGGCTCCTTAAAGGTCCGCTCTGCACGGGGTTCTCGGGGCTCGGGCTGACCCGGGCCATTCTCATCCGACTCCCACGTCCTCTTTCTTCCTGACTTAACAGTGGGGTCTTCTCTCAGCCTTTCAAAAGCAACGTGACCTTTTCTCTTCACCGTTAAAAATGTTCAGGGACCTTTCCCTCCGATTCCCCGATTCCCGAGGGGATTCCGCAGACTCGGCGCCCACACCCCAGGCTGCAGTCCCGGGCTCAGTAGTTACGAGGAGACGGAGCAGGGGAAGAAGGGAGGGGACAGAGCAGGAAGGAAGAGAGGGGCCGGGGCTTTTGTGCAAGATTTAATAAAAAACAAACAAAAATAGGAATGGTTGCTTTCGACATTGTCCAGGTGTGAAGGGCGGCCACGGTGATCTGGGTGTGGTTCTAAGCTGCGTTAGTGGGACAAGGCAGGACGGCCAGGTCACTCGCAGCCTGGCGCCTCCTCCTCTGCGGCCCGCGGGCGAGCTGGCAGCACGGGGGTCCGGGCCAGACCAGATGACCAGATGGCATTCTCTCCGACCCACAGGGACCCACCTACCACGTGGCGCGGCGGAGCTGGAGCCGAGCCTCGGGGCCCTGCCTGCGCACCAGCACTGGCTGAGACAGGGCTAGCTTATCGTCAGGCCGCGGAGCCTTAATACTGATAGTGCGTGCGCTGGGTGACAGCAAGGGAGGGGGCCACCACCACGCAGCCCCGCCGCCGCGTGGTTACAATACCATGGAGACGAGGCTTGGTGGGGGCGTCAGCACCGACCCGCAGGGCAGCTGGGCCCAGCGGGCACCAGCCCCCCCTGCCGCACACCCACAGTTAGCGATGACAGTCACAACCTCGCAACGAGAACAATGAGACAAAGGTACAGACACGAAGCAGCGCCGGGGTCGTGGGGCCGCAAGCCGGGAGGGGTGCGCTGGACTGGACGGACACGGCTAGTCGGTCTTCGAGTCCCTGGGTTCAAAGAGCCTCAGCCGTTCCTGCACCGTCAGGCCTTCCTTCAGACTCTGCAGGGACAGGGCGGGGGAGACATGGCCGCATCAGCCCCAGGGCGAGGCTCGGCGGGCCGGTGGGGGGGCGGGGGCAGAGGGTGGGGGGCTCCTGGAGATTAGTGGGGCATGCCAGGGGAGATGGCCCCGTGGAGTGGTGTTACTGTGACAGTGTTTCCCCCTCCAGAAGGTATTTAGATGGAAAAAGGAACCCAGAGAAACAAGACCGTTTAAGCAGGAAACGCAGTGCTTAGGGCTCTCTAGGGAAGTAGTGACCAGCCGGGCCCAGCCAGGGAGGAGCCGAGCCCAGAACCAGAGATTGCCCGTCCAAGCTCTCCTGTGTGTATCTGCCACGTCCACCTCCTTCGGATGAGCGACCTGACAGCCACACCCCGGGGCGAGCCTCCTGGGTGAGGCCCGGCAGCACCACGGCTCCCAGAACCACTGCTGGCACTGTTACCAGGGTTCAGAGAGTCAGCAACCTCCTAAGTCGGTTTTTTGCTTTGTTTTTATTTAAACGTCTGATCACTGTATGTCACTTGGCTTGTAAGAGAATTCGCCCAACACGAACTACGCCTCAGACCAGTGCAGCTGAGAATACGATGCACGCCGTCAACAGGCAGCAGACTGTCACCGTGCCCCACAGAGGTCTTGCCTGTATTTCCTGATCTCCTTCCCTATGCTCTTCCCCTCTCCCACCCTCCCTCCAGTCTCCGGGGCCCATGGCCACTCCCACTCTACCGTGGAGCGCGGACAATCGGTGCACGTTAGCTGGACACGTACGGTGTCTCTCCCAGCCTGGCCGGCTTCACTCGGCAGTACATCTCCCATGTTTGACCACTTCCTAGCAAATGCCAAGTCCCCGAGGTTTTCAGAGTGGAACCCACAGCCTGTCCACAGGACACCCTGGGAAAGCTTCAATCTGCATGCCTGGGCCAGCCCTGTGGCTGAGTGGTTAAGGAGCCAGACCCCACAGGGCCCACTGTGCAGTTGAGATCCTGGCCCTGGCAGCTTTAAACGCATGCTGGGCGTGTGCGTGGGCCATGTCCCAAACCCTGCCACGGGGGGGAGAGAAAGGGATGGGATGGCATGACCAGACCCTCCTGGGTGCTTACTTCCTCTCCAGCCAGCACATGGACCCCACGTGGCCTGGTGGTTAAGGGAGCCAGATCCCAGAGCTGACTACGTGGTTCAAATCCTACAGCTGGGGTCTGAGCAACCTGCTGGGCCTGGCGTGAATGTGTGTCCCCGATCCAGACAGGAGGGGGAGGGGCAAGGGACGGCGGGACCATCCCACGGGGGG